TCAACTTTTTTTAAAAGGAAAACTGGATTTTCAGCTAACTGCACACTTTCTGCAAAAGTGTCTGCTTTTCTAAGACATTCATCGGGAAATTGAAATTCAAGAATGTGGCCAAAATATTTGTTTGGTGTTTTTCAGCAAAAAGTCAGTTTCCTACAGGGAAAAATCCCAATTTCCACCAGCTCTAACTGGGAGGTAGGGAAGAAAGCTAGGAACATCAGGGCTACTGGGGAACTGTGCTAGTAGGGTGAAGTGTCCAGAGAGCTGGTTCTCTGTGCTATTGCTCTAGAATCCATGGGTGTTTCCTCCATAGAAGACACCTCCTCATCAATTATTGGGAGTGCACTACATCCACCCTGATTGAATTGGCCCTGTCAGCGTTGGTTCTCCACTTGTAAGGTAACTCCCTTCTCTTCATGTGTCAGTATATTTATGCCTGCCTCTGTAATTTTCACTCCATGCATCTGAAGAAGTGGGTTTTTTACCCACAAAAGCTTTTGCCCAAATAAATGTGTTAGTCTTTAAGGTGCCATCGGACACCTCATTGTTTTTGTGGATACAGACGAGCATGGCTACCCCTCTAATACTTGATGCCCTAAGTTGTGCAGCAACATCAGAGTGCTGCTGTAGTGTGCACGCAATCATTCAGCCATCGCTGTGGTTCATAAACTGGAGAAGGGGAGCCAAGCAGAGAAAGAAACAACTGAAACACTGTTTTACATGCAGTAGGAGGATGTTGCCAGGAGTGGGGCTTCACACCTCAATATCTTTAAAGCTCTGCTACTGGGTCAGGCTCCAGCTACAAATAGCTCCACAGCACCACTCTATTACTACACACCTTAGAATGTCTGCATGGTGGATACCTCATCTTGCAAGTCTCTCCCTGCTCTCTCCAAGGCAGGGTCTTCAGGTTCTTCTGCACATCTTCCCAGTGCATGGTCCCTGCTTCCTCTCCTGCTAATCACCCTACCCCTGTGCCTCTAAAATGATGGCTATGTGTTAGAGATGACAATTTCCTGCAATGTCCTAGACAAACCTTACTGTATAAAGTTAAACCAAGATGTACTGAATTAAGTTTAAATATTTTAGGAATTCATTCTATTAAAAATGCAAATATTTACATATTATTGTGGGATTGCACGTAATATCTCCGGAGGGAGACATAGCTAGCATAAACCCTGGGAAGTGTTCTGACCTTCAAAAGACTATTTGAAACTGTGTGCGAGGCAAGAATGAACACTTAAAGTTGAGTGAGTTTCCCATGAAGCCTCTAGGGGTGGCGTATGCAAATATACTCCCTCCACTTATGCAAGAACTCAGCCTTTTTAACCTTTGCCTTGAGAAGGGGACTTCTGTCTGCTAATCACCTGTTACAAGAGGAGAAGACCAGAGTCTCAAATTGTATAAGAGTGACTCCTAGATTCATAGTGTTGCTTGTCCTAAGCCAAGGCTATTATGAACTTGTAATCACAGGAAAAATGCCTGTGTAGGGTTTGAAGGACTGACTCCTACCAGAGCTCTTGCTGGAGTTAGGGTGATTTCTGGTAAGCTTACTAGCATGAATGACAGGTTTCAGAGTAACAGCTGTGTTCGTCTGTATTCGCAAAAAGAAAAGGAGTACTTGTGGCACCTTAGAGACTAACCAATTTATTTGAGCATGAGCTTTCGTGAGCTCCAGCTCACTTCATCGGATGCATACCGTGGAAACTGCAGCAGACTTTATATACACACAGAGATCATGAAACAGTACCTCCTCCCACCCCACTGTCCTGCTGGTAATAGCTTATCTAAAGTGATCATCAAGTTGGGCCATTTCCAGCACAAATCCAGGTTTTCTCACCCTCCACCCCCCCACACACAAACTCACTCTCCTGCTGGTAATAGCCCATCCAAAGTGACAACTCTCTACACAATATGCATGATAATCAAGGTGGGCCATTTCCTGCACAAATCCAGGTTCTCTCATCCCCTCACCCCCCTCCAAAAAACCCACACACACAAACTCACTATCCTGCTGGTAATAGCCCATCCAAAGTGACAACTCTCTACACAATGTGCATGATAATCAAGGTGGGCCATTTCCTGCACAAATCCAGGTTCTCTCATCCCCTCACCCCCCTCCAAAAAACCCACACACACAAACTCACTATCCTGCTGGTAATAGCTCATCCAAAGTGACCACTCTCCCTACAATGTGCATGATAATCAAGGTGGGCCATTTCCAGCACAAATCCAGGTTTTCTCACCCCCCCCCCACCCCCATACACATACAAACTCACTCTCCTGCTGGTAATAGCTCATCCAAAGTGACCACTCTCCCTACAATGTGCATGGTAATCAAGGTGGGCCATGTCCAGGACAAATCCAGGCTTTCTCACCCTCCCCCCCCCTTTTTTTCCAGGACACACACACACACACACACACACACACACACAAACTCACTCTCCTGCTGGCAATAGCTCATCCAAACTGACCACTCTCCAAGTTTAAATCCAAGTTTAACCAGAACGTCTGGGGGCGGGGCTAGGAAAAAACAAGGGGAAATAGGCTACCTTGCATAATGACTTAGCCACTCCCAGTCTCTATTTAAGCCTAAATTAATAATATCCAATTTGCAAATGAATTCCAATTCAGCAGTTTCTCGCTGGAGTCTGGATTTGAAGTTTTTTTGTTTTAAGATAGCGACCTTCATGTCTGTGATTGCGTGACCAGAGAGATTGAAGTGTTCTCCGACTGGTTTATGAATGTTATAATTCTTGACATCTGATTTGTGTCCATTTATTCTTTTACGTAGAGACTGTCCAGTTTGACCAATGTACATAGCAGAGGGGCATTGCTGGCACATGATGGCATATATCACATTGATGGGTGTGCAGGTGAATGAACCTCTGATAGTGTAGCTGATGTTATTAGGCCCTGTGATGGTGTCCCCTGCATAGATATGTGGGCACAGTTGGCAACGGGCTTTGTTGCAAGGATAGGTTCCTGGGCTAGTGGTTCTGTTGTGTGGTATGTGGTTGTTGGTGAGTATTTGCTTCAGGTTGCGGGGTTGTCTGTAGGCAAGGACTGGCCTGTCTCCCAAGATTTGTGAGAGTGTTGGGTCATCCTTTAGGATAGGTTGTAGATCCTTGATGCGTTGGAGGGGTTTTAGTTGGGGGCTGAAGGTGACAGCTAGTGGCGTTCTGTTATTTTCTTTGTTAGGCCTGTCCTGTAGTAGGTGACTTCTGGGAACTCTTCTGGCTCTATCAATCTGTTTCTTCACTTCCGCAGGTGGGTACTGTAGTTGTAAGAAAGCTTGACAGAGATCTTGTAGGTGTTTGTCTCTGTCTGAGGGGTTGGAGCAAATGTGGTTGTATTGCAGAGCTTGCGCTACCAGCACTCCCAGCTACCTTCGAGACACCACTGACTTCCGGAGGAAACTTCAATCCATCGGTGATCTTCCTGAAAACACCCTCCTGGCCACTATGGATGTAGAAGCCCTCTACACCAACATTCCACACAAAGATGGACTACAAGCCGTCAAGAACACTATCCCCGATAATGTCACGGCTAACCTGGTGGCTGAACTTTGTGACTTTGTCCTTACCCATAACTATTTTACATTTGGGGACAATGTATACATTCAGATCAGCGGCACTGCTATGGGTACCCACATGGCCCCACAGTATGCCAACATTTTTATGGCTGACTTAGAACAACGCTTCCTCAGCTCTCGTCCCCTAACGCCTCTACTCTAATTGCGCTATATTGATGACATCTTCATCATCTGGACCCACGGAAAAGAAGCCCTTGAGGAATTCCACCATGATTTCAACAACTTCCATCCCACCATCAACCTCAGCCTGGTCCAGTCCACACAAGAGATCCACTTCCTGGACACTACAGTGCTAATAAACAATGGTCACATAAACACCACCCTATACAGGAAACCTACTGACCGCTATTCCTACCTACATGCCTCCAGCTTTCACCCTGACCACACCACACGATCCATCATCTACAGCCAAACCTGGATTTGTGCTGGAAATGGCCCAACTTGATGATCACTTTAGATAAGCTATTACCAGCAGGACAGTGGGGTGGGAGGAGGTATTGTTTCATGATCTCTGTGTGTATATAAAGTCTGCTGCAGTTTCCACGGTATGCATCTGATGAAGCGAGCTGTAGCTCACGAAAGCTCATGCTCAAATAAATTGGTTAGTCTCTAAGGTGCCACAAGTACTACTTTTCTTTTAGCATGTATGAGTTCTTTTATTGTTTTAATGTTTTCTTTGTTATGCTTTCTCATTAAAAATAAGAAGCAGCTTAGCAAAAGCTGTGTGGTAACTTATAATTGTGGGCAACTGCGTTGCTTAAAACCTTTGAAGAGAAAGCAAAGCAAGTCTACTTAGATGGTCTGACATGCTGGGAAACTCACAGTGTAGGCAGGAAATTGTGTAGCCTGAAGAAACCCTGGTCAGGAGGGGGAGAGATGCACATCTCCATCCAAGAAAGGTGCAGGCTGAGGAGCCAGAAGTCTGAGAGTGGGTACTCTTGGTGGACTATAAAAAGGGAATAGAGGTGCAGTTGCCCTGACCTGTGGCAGGATGTACAAGCAGAGGAGTTGGAATATGGCAATGATTTATTCATTGATTTATAAGGTATATGACACAATCTGAAATGTTATTCGGTAACTTGTCAAAAAGATACGGGCAGTGGCACAGCTACATCATTCCACAGAGACTATTACACAATATGAACAAATATACAGTAAGCACCTTCCGTAATAAGGAGCAAAATGCTTTTGATTGAAAGAAAATCATATTACATTTTCATTGGATACTTATTCACTCAGAAAGACTGGATTAGATTTGCAATTCATGCTGCACCACAACCATCTATAAATTCTAAAACCAAATCCCTGCTGGAAGAACATCAAATATGTATAAGCATCAAGTATGATTGATCTGTTTCGTACAATATAAGAAGTACTTTGAGAGGGCAAATAGAAAAGAAAATCTTACCATCCATGTCCTTGTGTAGGATCATCCAGGAGCACTCGAATTATATATAACAAACAGCTTAATAACTTGAGAGAAAAATTGAACAATCGTATTCTGAGACCTGTTTGATAAAAGAAAAGAAAATACAAATTCAGTTTCTTTAGATTTTAATTCATGTTTTTAATGTAAAACTACTTAAAAGGAACAGGATATGCCTTCAACTCAAGTCAGAGAACTTGTGACTACAAGTATTCAAATATTAATATTTGGAAGTTTTTATGAAATAGCTTTGTGTAGGGAATGTATTATTATTGCCCAAATGTATAAAATATTAAACTATATTAATGTTTTGATAAAGTGGCACAAAAGTCAGAAAATGTAAAACTAATACCTGGCACAATTTTAACTCTATTCCTGTGTGTGTGTGTGTGTGTGTGTACACTGAACTGTGCTGCACACAAGGTCTAAAATAACGTAACCAAATATAATGCAGTGTCTTCTACAAGCTCAGGCCCCAATTAGGTGGTAATTTCCATGTGAGCAGATGCCCACACCTGTGCAAAGCCTCTTTGAACTCAAAGGGGATCGACATAAGCACAGTGTTTGCTGCTCTGAGGGTCCAGCTGAAGCCCAATGGAACCATTGACTTAATGGTCATTGAATCAGACTCTGAGTTCATTGCAGCATCAGGACCAAAGATATGCATGTGATCTTGTAATTAAAGATAGTATAGCCTTAATTGCACAAGTGTAATTTTTTTTGCATTTAATAATTACATTAAAAATAAAGTTACCAGTAATTATACTAATAGACACTGTTGGCAAAAACCAATGAGTAGAAAGCAACATCATTAGCAACCATTAGTAAATTGTACACTTGTAGACCGAGGCTCCAATCCTGAATTTGGATCCCCATAGTTGTGCCCGTTCAGAGTTCTATTGACTGATGTGAGCTCACACCGATCTGATTGCAGGAGCAGGATATTAGTAAGCACCAGTCAACCATAGGATAACTAGTGTCTGTCATTGTAAGCTAAGACACCAATTTTTCTAGCACTTATGCATGTGAATAGGCCCATTGTACTGAATAGAACCAGTTGTATGTTTGCAATGTTAGGGCTCAATTATGTTTTTCCATACCTATATATGACCTTGTGTGTATACATACTTCTAAGAGCAGAGTGTAAAATCTATTTATTGAGCATAACTCTCTCTCTCCCCTAGCCCAGTGCTGGAGCCCCCATGCATTTCACCAACTTGTGTTTTTGGGGGGAAGTTGCATCCAAACTGAACATAAAGTTAACATTTCTGAAAATCATTCCCCACTTCCCACCTTCAACAAGTAGTATACTTAATTACAGAAAAATTCAGAACAATGTCTACTTTAACTACATCTTAGAATCTGTGTATGAGAGAGACAGAGAAAATAAGGCTTTATAATGGAGCACTGTTTGCTATTTTAACTGTGGAGATTCCTTCATATTATGAAGGTTAGATTAACCCCTTTTGGCATTGGTAAACTGGGGGTTAAAACCCCATCCTAGGTTCCCAAGCAGTGAGAAGTCCTACAGCTGTGACCAGCAATTAGACTTGTCAACATTTATCTAGAGACTCCTGCTGTCTTATCAAATCTAATTAACAGCAGACTCTTGATTTCCCCAGAGCAGGGAGAAGAGATAGAAAAGGAAAGAGGATATGACCAGAGGGTGAGAGGGCTGGGGCATGTGCGAATTCATTGCTGTGTTATAAGCTTTACTTTTTTTTCTTTTTGAACTGTTGCTGAAGGAAGAACTTCTTAACTGAATTAACCCTTTTGGGGAAATCTGCTTAAGCAGGAGTAGCTGCTATGCCAGCTGGGCTATTATAAGTAGGCAATTAGGTGAGGTGAGAGAATAAAGGTCATTTTTGTATTGGCCTCATCTGTCTAGCCCTTCTGTTAATGAAATGCAAAGGTCTACAATCTGCAGTTTTGTGCTTTTATTTTAGCTCTGTAAATGTTCATCTGTGTGTGGAACACATCCTGATTTCCCTACTGATAATTCAGCAACTTTTAATCATTATATGAAGTCATATTTTGATTATAAAAGGTAACTAGAATGCCTGACATTATCTGGGAGCACATGGACAATAGCAATGTAAACTTCCCCCATGTTGCTCTGCAATGCACCTCAAATGTGACCTAGAACAACCCCCAGAGAGAGTTCAGTCCCCATGCAAAGTAAGTCCTTGACTTCTCTGCAGAGACTACAGACATTCAGGTGCAATGTAGACATGTTCATCAAGTGAGACCATCCTGTCACCAAATAGGCCATCAAACCCTAATCAAATAATAATGCATTTCTGTTCTGCTAACCAGCGCTGAATTTGAACTAGTGGTTTAAGCACCAAGACTGCAAACACTTCAGCAGATCCTTAACTTTGAGCACATAAGGAGTACTTGCATGCTTAAAGATCAGCGCAGGCATGTTTGCAGAAGCCGGGCCTTTGAGTTCACAGTCTTATCCCCTTATCCAAGCCTCCTATAAATCAATTTAGAAAATAAACGCTAACTGGGACATTTGGTCATTGGTCTGTACTGAGACCTTGGAGGTTCATTACAGAAAAATCTGTTCTTTAATAAGGTTTTTGATACTCCTTCTCATAAACAAATTAGGGAAATACAACCTAAATGGATGGTTTCAGAGTAGCAGCCGTGTTAGTCTGTATCCGCAAAAAGAAAAGGAGGACTTGTGGCACCTTAGAGACTAACAAATGTATTTGAGCATAAACTTTCATGAGCTACAGGTCACTTCATCTTATGCATTCAGTGGAAAATACAGTTGGGAGAATTATATACACAGAGAACATGAAACAATGGGTGTTACCATACACACTGTAATGAGAGTAATCAGGTAAGGTGAGCTATTACCAGCAGGAGGGGGGCGGGGAAACCTTTTGTAGTGATAATCAAGGTGGGTCATTTCCAGCAGTTGAAAAGAACATCTGAGGAACAGTGGGGGGAGGGGAATAAACGTGGGGAAATAGTTTTACTTTGTGTAATGACCCATGCACTCCGAGTCTCTATTCAAGCCTAAGTTAATTGTATCCAGTTTGCAAATTAATTCCAATTCAGCAGTCTCTCATTGGAGTCTGTTTTTGAAGTTTTTTTGTTGAAGAATTGCCACTTTTAGGTCTGTAATCGAGTGACCAGAGAGACTGAAGTGTTCTCCGACTGGTTTATGAATGTTATAATTCTTGACATCTGATGTGTGTCCATTTATTCTTTTACGTAGAGACAGTCCAGTTTGACCAATGTACATGGCAGAGAGGCATTGCGGACACATGATGGCATATATCACATTGGTAGATGTGCAGGTGAACGAGCCTCTGATAGTGTGATTGATGTGATTAGGCCCTATGATGGTGTCCCCTGAATAGATATGTGGGCACAGTTGGCAACGGGCTTTGTTGCAAGGATAAGTTCCTGAGTTAGTGGTTCTGTTGTGTGGTATGTGGTTGTTGGTGAGTATTTGCTTCAGGTTGCGGGGCTGTCTGTAAGCGAGGACTGGCCTGTCTCCCAAGGTCTGTGAGAGTGAGGGATCGTTTTCCAGGATAAGTTGTAGATCGTTGATGATGTGCTGGAGAGGTTTTAGTTGGGGGCTGTACGTGATGGCCAGTGGTGTTCTGTTGTTTTCCTTGTGGGGCCTGTCCTGTAGTAAGTGATTTCTGGGTACCCGTCTCGCTCTGTCAATCGGTTTCCTCACTTTCCCAGGTGGGTATTGTAGTTTTAAGAATGCTTGATAAAGATCTTGTAGGTGTTTGCCTCTGTCTGAGGGATTGGAGCAAATGTGGTTGTATCGTAGAGCTTGGCTGTAGACAATGGATCGTGTGATGTGTCCTGGATGGAAGCTGGAGACATGTAGATAAGTATAGCGGTCAGTAGGTTTCCGGTATAGGGTGGTGTTTATGTGACCATCGCTTATTAGCACCGTAAAGTCCAGGAAGTGGATCTCTTATGTGGACTGGTCCAGGCTGAGGTTGATGGTGGGATGGAAATTGTTGAAATCATGGTGGAATTCCTCAAGGGCTTCTTTTCCATGGGTCCAGATGATGAAGACGTCATCAGTGTAGCGCAAGTAGAGTAGGGGCATTAGGGGACGAGAGCTGAGGAAGCGTTGTTCTAAGTCATCCATAAAATGTTGGCATACTGTGGGGCCATGCGGGTACCCATAGCAGTGCCGCTGATTTGAAGGTATACGTTGTCCCCAGATGTGAAATAATTATGGGTAAGGACAAGGTGGGTGCATAACTGGTTGGAAAACCGCTCCCGGAAAGTAATTACCAGTGTTTCACAGTAAAGCTGGAAGGGCATATTGAGTGGGGTCCACAGGGATCAGTTCTGGGTCGGGTTCTGTTCAATATTTTTATTAATGATTTAGATAATGGTATAGAAAGTACACTTATGAAGTTTGCAGATGATATCAAGCTGGGGGAGGTTACAAGTGCTTTGGTGGATAGGATTAAAATTCAAAATGATCTGAACAAACTGGAGAAATGGTCAGAAGTAAATAGGATGAAATTCAATAAGGACAAATGCAAAGTACTCCACTTAGGAAGGAACAATCAGTTATACACAAATGAAATGGGAAATGACTGCCTAGGAAGTAGTATTGCAGAAAGGGATCTGGGGGTCATAGTGGATTGCAAGCTAAATATGAGCGAGCAGTGTAACACTGTTACAAAAAAAGCAAACATAAGTCTGGGATGTATTAGCAGGAGTGTTGTAAGCAAGACACAAGAAATAATTCTTCTGCTCTACTCTGCTCTGATTAGGCCTCAGCTAGAATACTGTGTCCAGTTCTGGGCACCACATTTCAGGAAGGATGTGGGCAAATTGGAGAAAGTCCGGAGAATAGCAACAAAAATGATTAAAGGTCTAGAAAACATGACCTATGAGAGCACATTGAAAAAAATGGGTTTGTTTAGCCTGGAAAAGAGATGACTGAGAGGGGACATAACAGTTTTCAAATACATAAAAGGTTGTTACAAGGAAAAGGGAGAAAAAATGTTCTTTTTAACCTCTGAGGATAGGACAAGAAGAAATGGGCTTAAATTGCAGTAGGACAGTTTAGGTTGGACATTA